TAATTAGTAAAATAAAATTTTCTATATACAGATAAAAACTCGCATTATGTATATAAATTTTATAAATAGTAAAAAATTTGGTAAATTACTGTAGGCCTCTGTATATTATTTGGTTATAAAAAAACTTTTTAAATAATAATAGTTAATTTTAAGAAGATAATATTTAGACTCATAATCAAAAATTACAATGTCTTTTTAAGTAGAAAATAATCTTCAAATATTGTCTTATCAAGTTCAAAGTTTTGATCTCAATTCAATTGAAAATTTTTAGGTTAAAATAAAGAAAAATATCTAAGTATACAAAAAATCTTTATCTATTCTTACTAATCTTAACCAAAGTATATAAAGAAATTCTAAAGTATACTATTAAAAATTTTAGTTAATAATATATTATAATAAATTCAAGCTATAATTATAACAAATAGTAATCTAATTAAATACTAGCTACTTAGTATAAAATATAGATTTAATTAGTTTTAAATAAAATAATAATTGATTTTTTATTATTAATATTAATAATTTAACATTTATATTAAATAAAAAAATATGTAAAAACTTTTATTTACTTTTCTATATATTATTTAATATATGATACTTAATTTTTTTATTTATTTAAATATCAAGAATATATATTATAATCTATATCTAATTAAAAAAAGTAATATATCTATTACAAAAAAAATATCAATGTTATTAAATAACTTCTTTTTAAAATTAATTAATTGTTTGTTTTATTTATATAAATATTTATTATTAAATTAAAAATGTAAATTATTTATCCTTAATTTTAATAAAATATCTTTCACTTCTTTAATTACATTTCTATTAATTTATTATATTAAATAAATTTTATAATTATTTTAATTTTTATATTTTATTATATTATTGTATTTTATATTTAATAAAATAAATAAATATATGTAATATAATTTTAAGTAATTTATAATCTTATTTTTAAATTTATATTAAAAATATTATTAATTTAACATTTTATTTTAAAAATCTAAATCTTTAAAATATATATTGCTAATATCTAATATTATTATTAGATTAAATATTAAACTTTTTATCACTATTTGATTTATTATTATAATTTTTATCTGTTAAAATATACAGAATAAATATATAAAAATATCATAGTTTTATCCTGATATTTTATTAAAAATATCAAAAATAGTATAAAATAACTCTTTTTTATCTTAATATTTCATAAATTATAATATTAAAAACTATATTTTTTTTATAAAATATATTAAAAATTTGTTGATATTTTATTTTATAAAAATATGTTTTAATAAAAGTTACTTAATTTTTATTTAACAATAAATAAAAAATATTTATGTTATTAATTAAGTATATCATTAAATTATATAAATATATTATATAAAATATTTTTTATTAAAAAATTTGATTTTAATAAATATTAACATTAATTTCTAATTAAAAATACTTTCTAATACTAATCTTTAAAATGTCTACTGATTGATATTTATTTAACTTTAATATTAAATTTTTTAAAGCAAATAATGATAAATTATAATACTTGAAATGTATTATAAAGTTTTATAATTTTTATAAACATCTATTAATTAATATAAATCAGAATATATAATATAAAAAGTATTAAATATTTTTTGTTACAGAAATATATATATTTGTATATTACTTTAATTCTTTAATTGATATAAATTTAACTAATAAATTACTTTAATTAAGTTTTTTATTTTGCTTTAGCTTTATATTTATGATGAATAAAATATTGATCGATATTTTATTTTTATTATTAATTGTTTTTTTGTAAGCTTATTTATATTTTATATAACTTACAAATATATGTAGTTTTCTTTTATATTTTTATATTTTAATCAAAAAGTATTACTATTAACTATTCACTTTAAATTAAAATTATTTTTATATTTATACTTTTACTTTTTATTTAAAAGATATTATTAAAAATTGCAAGTTATATTATTTATCATTTAGTTGGCAAAAAAAAATTTTTTATAATAAAAAATAAAGATTAAAAATGCAAGTTTTTTTTTGGATTAATCTATTAAATATAAGATTATAAAACATTTACTATATTTATACTATTTGTATTATATAAATATAATTAAAAATTTTATGCATATTTTTTAAAAATAGTATATATAAATTATATAATTTTAAGGGTTATATCATGAAAAATAATCACTGATTTGATTTAATTAAAAGATAATAATATTAGTTATATTAAGCTTATTTATTTAAAATACGTAAATATAATAAATATATAGCTTTTAAAGGTTTTAAGACAAAAAAATTTTATACATATTTAATTAATAATATTTAAATCCTCTTCTTTTATATTTAATATTATGAGTTAAACCAATAGTATAAAATCTGTCTATAATTTTTCAATAAAAAATAATGTAATAATCTGTTGATTATTGTATATTTAAATATGAATTTTTAGTTATTATCAATATTTTATAACATAATTTCTTCTAGATAATAATAAATTTTATTATAATGATTTCAAATCAAATTTTTTTTAAAAAGTTTCGTGTTCACACTAAAATTAGATCGAAATTTTTTTTTTTGGCCTAACTATTTTGATAAAAAATTATTTATAACTTACAATGGTGTTTCTTAAATGGCGACATATGACGTAATCTTCGACCATATAATTACATTACTAATCATTCATTGATTATATTATCTATGGTATACTGAACATCATTATTAATGCCACCATTAAAGATTACAAATGGAGATGTAAAAGAGAAAAAAAAAATCTACCCAATTTGAGGAAATCATCACGCAATAACCAAAAAAGAAATGATCATTTATAATAATCGAATTAGCAAGGTCATTAACCAACCTTTGGTCCGTTTTTTATAATGTAATCTTTGATACCTCATTTAAATCATTTTGTTTAAGAAATAACTTGTTTTAAAGGATAACAACTTTTTTTTTTCAAATCACATTTAATTAAGTAGGTTTAAATTAAAAAGGTATTATTTTCATTTACAACTTTAATCATTTTACCCAAAATTTCTTTCTCCTTTTCGTTTCTAACGCTACTATTATCAATCCAAAATTTTGTTTGATAAGGAAGTTTGAAATTATTTTTTTCACAATTAATCAAATAGTCATTTTTAATATTCCATCTTAATGTAATCCTATTCATAACAGGTTTTAAATCCTTTAATTGTAATGTAGTTTGAACTGGTTGTGAAAATATTGAGAGAGTTTCCAGTGTAATTTTTGATAAAGGGGTAATTGTTGAAGGAATGATTGATGGCGTATTATGAAGATAAATCTTCGTTACATATGGTGACATGAAGTGGTGTAATGTAATTGTTGCTGCTGAGCTTGCAACAAAAGCTTTTTTTTTTTTTAAAAAAAAAAAAAAAATAAGAAATTAACAAAATTATAATAATTTTTAAATTTTAATTGTCAAATATACATACAAAAAAAAAAGATTTCGAAAATGATCTTACCTAATGACAAGATCGCACCATTTAATTCAGCTGCTTGAACTTAATTAAATTAATGATGTGATAACGTGTTAATGTTGGGTCTTAACAAAAAAGAATCAAATTTTTTAAAATCCAAAAATACTTACTCGTAGGACCATCCCAGTTCCACCAAGTGAATGGACCTATTGTCCATGCAAACTAATTCGATAATAAAGAGATAGATAGTTTGTGAAATAAATTCCAGATTATCAATAATCGAATTTAAAATAACGCAAACAAACCCCAAGTGTGGATATAGAAAATATCTTCAGGATCCTAATTAATCGAAAATTTGGACCTTCAAAAACGAGTTGTTTCGTTTCAACCTCCTCATTGTTCGATTTAACTTTAGTTGAAATGTTTTTTTGAAAATTAATAAAAGGAGTCTTTCGTACTTGAGATGAAATTCGAAGTACTTCCTTAACCCGAAAAGAATTATAATGAAATAAATTGGTTGATATTACGGGTATTTTCATTTCCAAAAATCTCGTTAAAAAGAAAAAGGGAATAAAAAAAAAAAAAGTGATCGACAATCGACAATTCGTCATTTACAGTCATTTGTAGTTGTAATATATTTAGTTAAATTGGAATTGCCAACATGGTTACACGTAAAAATAAATTAGTGAAATGAAAAGGTCCCTAATATTTAAACTAAATAAACTACATCGAAAATGACTGACACGAAAAAAAGTTCGGATTTTTTTATTGGTTCACAAAAGATCTGGTATGCTAAAATGTTAATATCCAATTTTATGTTCTGTTTTCATTCATTTTGAAATAAAAACCTTACTACCAAAATTGGGAATTTATCTCGTGTCATAAAAGGGGCCCAATGATATTTTACCTAAAATTTGTAGAACATTTTACTGTAATGCAATTTTATAAATATACCTCAACGTTGTACCCTCAAGGATGTTGTTACAAAGGAATACTCTGTCGCCTCATTTGAGGAAAAGATAACATTTCTAAACCAACAACCCTAACCTTACCTTCGCAGACCCTATAAAGTCTCAAATGAATTCGTTATTATATTCAAATAGGTGAATTCAAATGTATGAATTAAAGATTTTTGTTTGGGATCTCAGTATTTTAATTGTTTGATATCAAAAAGTGCGCCCGAATCTTTCTGTGTTTTTGTAAAACCAATAATTTGAACAAACTCCATGCATGTACTCATTCTTTGATAGTTTAATTAGGAAAGATTAAATGAGTGATTGATTAAAAAGCAATCTCCGTTATTTATCTGGGTACCAGCCCCGGAAACGTGTTTCCGACTTCAGAAACAAAAACGAATGAATGTACTATGTTCATCATTACCTTTAATTAATAGGATTAACCATTTGAGGATTTGATTTACGATCAAAAAAAAAATGTATAAATAAAAAAGGGGGGAATTCTCACCAAAAAATAAAAATAAAAAAAAAAAACTTAAAATATGGCCGATAATAATAATACGTCATCCAAAATTTTTGGAGAAGCTGCAATTAATGGAGCTGGGGTTACCTTGGATACAACCACGACAATATTGGATGTAATTGAATGTGTAACCAATATCGCCGTACCATTTGCAAGATTTGTACCATTGATCGCAGATGTGGCGAACATTTTAGATCAAATAGTTGATTTATATCAATCGGCTGAACATAATAAAAGAATATGTGGGGTGTTGATTGATAGGGTGTCCGCAGCCGAAGCGGCGGTGCGAAATTTAAAAATTCGTAGAGATCAAAATAAAAATTTTTTCAATCAACAAAATTTAATCTTGTTACAAAGATTGGTACATAATATACAACAAATTAAAAGATTCGTTAACGAAGTTAGTCAAGTAAAAGGGTTAAAGAAATACGCACAATCCAAAAGCATTGAAAAAACTTTTAATGAATTATGTAGAGATTTTGATAGTCATGTGGCCACTTTACATTTTGCCATTACGGTTGAATCTCGTAATCAAGCGGAAAATGATAAGGAAGCCCTAAGGAATGATTTGGCTGACCTTGGAAAATATCTTGATGATATTGGTAGTGGTATAACCGATTCCAATAAAAATGTTGCGCAATTGGTCACTCAGTTGATCGTAATGAATAGTACGATGGAACATTTACACGCGGAACAAATCAAAAATAATAATACGGAAAGTCAAGGTAAAATTGATAATATATTTAAAGAGGAACGACTTCCATTAAATGATTATAAACCGACAGATGATGTTCGTGGTAGCAAAGTTAAGAAATGGATTTCAAAAAAAACGGATGATGAAGTGGCGTTTAAAGCTGTCGCAGATGAAAATGATCTTGAAGAATATAAGAATAGCATAAAAAATCAAGTTACCATATTAAAAAAATTAAAGGATTGTCAATGTATCTTAAGATTTTATGGAATAGCTTGTGATGGTGAAAAATGGTATACGGTAACCGAATGGGCCGAACTTGGTAATTTAAGGGAATATTATAATAAATATGATTTTGATATTAGAAAGAAATTAAGTTTCGCTGTTGATATCGCAAGAGGGTTGAATTTCTTGAAGTCCATCGAAGTGAGTAAAAATTGATTTTAAATAGATGTATAAAATGTGCGTATATTTACGATTTATGTATTTCTCCTAGATTATTCATAGGGATATAAGAGCAGAAAACATTTTAATTACCGCTAACGAAACGGCAAAGATTGCTAATTTTAAATCAAGTAGGAATCTTGCTCATGAATCACGAAAGCAAAGTGCAACCCAAGAAGCTGTCCGTTATTTAGCTCCTGAAATGTTGGGTCAAAGGACGGTAAAATATACGACTAAATGTGAAGTTTATAGTTTTGGTATTTTACTTTGGGAAATTGCTGAACAAAAAGTTCCTTATGAGAAATATAATGATATCATTCATATCACTGATCTCGTTAAAAAAGAAAAATATCGGGAGCCTTTTTCTTTAAATAGCGACTTACCGAAAAAATATCAAGTCATTGCGAAAGAAGGTTTTTATATATTGAATCATGCTAATTCTTTTTTATTAGAATTTAAAGATGTTAAAATTTACTTTTTTTTTTTTTTTATTCTTTAGCTGTTGAACATGACCCAAATTATAGACCTGAATTGTCAAAAATGTTTAATACGCTAATTGAACTATTTAAAAATCATGGGTTGCCGCAAGCTTCGCCTCGTCCTTCCATTAACCGTAACCATCCGCGTGTTAATAGCACTGATACTTTTGCACTCACCCCACAAGATGAAAGTGAATTAATGATAGAAGTACCAGATTTAAGCCCATTTAATTTTATGTCAGTGGATGAAGCTTCGAAACAGCATAAAATTAAAAATGGTAATTTAGAGATGGCTTATAAATGTTTCGATACCTACGCTAACCTTGGTAATTTAAAAGCAAAATATTTCAAAGCATATTATATTTCTCACAAATACGCTGAAACTCATCTTCCGCAACAAGATAGAAATGAAATTGCCGCTCAACTTTATAAAGAGGTTGCCGATGCAGGTGATGAATATCCCGAAGCTCAACTTCGTTATGGAAATTGTTTATACAAAGGACAAGGTGTTCCCAAGAATGTTGAAGAGGCCGTTAAATATTTCGTTAAATCGGCCGAAAATGATCAAGAAATAGGAATGTTTAATGCTGGTAGTTTATATCATATGGGCGTTTTAATAGAACGAAATAGAGAATTAGGTGAATATTATATGAAATTGGCTGCTTATAAACAGCATCAACCTGCAATCGATTTTTGTAAAAAATGTAATATTCCTTTGTGATAAATAACCGATTTTCGGATTGGTTCATGGATCTGGTCATCATAGATTGGGATTTTATCGGTTGCCCGATTAAATCTAACTTTTTTGATTTAAAAATTTTTATTCATATCAGATATAGAATTAACTCTTTATAATTTATTCATTCAAAATAACTTTTTCAGTCACATGGTGTAACAACAAACATGTCAAAAATATGTGGGCGTTACCGAAATTTCTTAATTGTTTCCTTATAATGCTGCGCTATGAGAAAGTTGAACGAAAAAAATAAAAAAGAAGCGTCATTTTATTTTGATAATCTTTAATTATAGATTGAACTATATATGATTTCTGTTTTCGTAATTTGAAAAAAAAAAAAATAAATTGGATCAAGGGCAAATAAACTCCGCTAAACAAATTTGGGCTCACCAACTCCGATTTTAGGTTGTTAGAAAACAAAAATCATCTAGTATTTAAACTTGATTACGTACCGCTTACAAATTAAATAAATCTGGGCGTTAACCATCAAAAAAATTTCATATATAAAGCCTAATGAATTATTCAGGAATGTTCGTTTTTTCTGCCTTGCTTTTTCAATCATTAATCATTAATCATAAATCATAAAATAAACGAAAACAATTCTCGCGTGTTATATTATTTGATTATTTATATATGCTTTTTTTTTTTACCCGCAGTAATTGATTCATTAATATAAATTTTTATCGGAATAAAAGTCATGCTCTTTCAGAAAAATAAAAATAACTCGAATGCTTTCATCTTCATATTTTTATCAATATGTTCCATGACAATGGTTAAAAGTCAATTTTTAGATGGACTTATGCCAGGAGAACCTTTTATGAGAGATTATCCTCCAGACCCATTCTATCCGAACGGTGAAGGGAAAATGTTAAAGACACCAACCGATTCTTCTGCAAAATCAGCGGTTAAATGCTCGGATCCCCTGCCAGTAGGAACCTATCCTTTGCCACGTTGTATCGGTAATGCATTCGAGTACAATTTCGAAGCTTATGATGTGGACCAACGATCGAAACTCCGATCGAAACGAAGAACAAGTCATATGATCACCTGGTTCGGACATTACATTTCATTTGGTATCTCCAAATCGCAAAATAATGTCGTCTCGGATCCGATATATATACCTGCTGATGACGCAAATTACAATCCACCAAATTCAATCCCAGGGGAATTATCAGCCAACGGTACAACGTCGATTCCATTTAACATGTCCGAAACATTTGATCCGAATCCATTAAATACCGCACGTAACGGAATTAATCATGGATCTTCA